TTTCAATTCAAGAAGACAACAAGTATACCCTCAGGAGATAGCCTTACCTAAGAGAAAGAGGTAAATGATAAGAAATCAGGCCAAAGCTGGGGAATCGAGAAAGCGATTCCTCAGGAACACTGTAGAGCCTTTCACGCTTTCCACACATACTGTAGGAGCCCTCTGGAATGCACTGGCTCAGGAATGCTTTGGCAGAAACCCTACTGGGATAACTGAGACTCTAAAACCGAGTCTGTCTCAGATCACCCAACTCAAGTGTGCATTCAAGGAGTTGGGGTAGGGCTTGAGAACTGGCATTTCCAACAAGTTCCAGGTGTTCTGTACACTCTGAGAGCCACTGGCTTATATTTAAAGACATGTTCATTTTCTTTTTCTTTTTCTTTTTTTTTAAGATTTTATTTATTTACTTGACAGACAGAGATCACAAGCAGGCAGAGAGAGAGTAAGGGAAGCAGGCTCCCTGCCGAGCAGAGAGCCTGATGCAGCGCTCGAGCCCAGGACCCTGAGATCATGACCTGAGCCGAAAGCAGAGGCTTAAACCACTGAGCCACCCAGGCGCCCCTACATGTTCATTTTCTTGCATAAGAAGCAGATTGGAGGTGTGTGGTTTCTGGTTGGCTGTGGCTCACTAAGGTCATAAGGGCAAGATCTCTTTCTAATTTACCCTTCTGACATCTTTGGGCATTCACTGACTATCCCTAGGTTTGTCTCCTCATGGATAAAGATGGCTAACACAACTCCAATAATTTCACCTTCACACCATCTCAGTAAGGGCAAGGAGAAAAGGGGAAGGAAGAGCATAAGCTTTCACTTCCCCAGGCTTTGTTTTGTTTTGTTTTGTTTTGTTTTTTATCCAGAAAGAACATCTTTTTCAGAACCCTCAACCAACTTTTCTTATCTCTCATTGGCCAGAACTGGATCACTTACCCACTAACCCCTTATCCCTGCCCCAAACTCATTACTGGCATAATGGGTGACATGATAATCACTGCCTTAGACCAATAATAATTTGTCCCCTGGGATAGGGGGAGACATCTATCTTGCCTAAAATCAAAACGCGAATGGCCGTTCAAAAAGTAACAAGTATCCAGGCACCTGGGTGAATCAGTCGGTTGAATGTCAGATTCTTGATTTCTGCTCAGGTCATGACCTCAGGGTCCTGGTGTCACCAGCCTCAGTCTCCAAGTTCAGCAGGGAGTCTGCTTGAGATTCTCTCTCCTTCTTCTGCCCATCCCCCACTTCTCTTTTTCTGAAGTAATTAGATAAATAAATAAAATCTTTAAAAAAAAAATATTGGCTATCACCCCAACTGGAGCCTACCTCTAGCTAACCAGCCAGCTAGATATTTTGCATACATTAATTCTCTGAATTCTCACATTTCTCTGAAGTAAACATTATTATTCTCATTTTGCAGGTGAGGAAACTAAGACTTGAGAAGGTTAAGTATTTTGCTCACACAGCTAGGAAAACTTTAGAATTTGAACTAGGTCTATTGATTTCACAGTCTAAATAATATCCTTACATTACGATTTCCTGATGTCTCTTGTTTCAGAGATAGCTCAGAGAAATCTTTGCTATCATAATGAGAGCCCTTGATTATGGATTTAAAAAGGCTGATCTATATTCTGTTTACTATATAGAATGTATGTGCACTATATTTCACAAGATTTGATACAAAAATTTTAACCTATGAGTACTTAATTAATTAATTAATTAATTTACTTTTCAGAATCTTTTTTTTAAAAGATTTTATTTATTTATTTGACAGAGATCACAAGTAGGCAGAGAGGCAGGCAGAGAGAGAGAAAATCCTGTCACCAAGGATAATATATTCCTAATGATATGACATAGCTTAATTTTTTTAAAGATTTTATTTATTTATTTGACAGAGTGGAGAGAGAGAGCACAAGTAAGCAGAGTGGCAGGCAGCGGGTGAGAGAGAAGCAGGCTCTCTGCTGAGCAAGGAGCCCGATGCAGGGCTCGATCCCAGGACCCTAAAATCATGACCATTCATCAGTCATCCCTTCTCTCTGGATGGCTCCCAATTCTGTTTTCTCATGCACATCTTCTGCCTGACACCTGACCCACATCCCTGCTGTTCTGTTCCCAAACAGAACTCTCCTACTCTGTTTCAGGGACCTTCACTGTAATATATTTCAAATAAGGTCTTCTTATGTTGCAATGCAGTAATGGTCTTATCACCTTCTGTGGACCAGGAGTCTGCAAATCCTAAAATGTGCTAACACTGTCCTTCTTTAACCCTTTGCCAGTTGTCCACTAGCAAATACCCCCCTCCCCCAGTTATCAGTTCTTCCTCCTCCTTACAAATCCATACCCACTTCTCCCATGTGACCACCACCTGTCAGCTTAGCCCTCATGTTCTTTTACCTGAACCATGTACTTGTCCCTGTTCACTGGGTCCTTCCTTCTGCCTTAGAGATCGTCTAAAGCATACATTTGGGGGCACCTGGGTGGCTCAGTGGGTTAAAGCCTCTGCCTTTGGCTCAGGTCATGATCCCAGGGTCTTCCTCCTCTTTCTCTCTCTCTGCCTGCCTCTCTACTTGTGATCTGTCAAATAAATAAATAAAAATCTAAAAAAAAAATACATATATATGTGAAAACAAAATATATGCTCATAAATATATCATCCAAGCTAGAAAAACTAGCTGGTATGTATTAGTCATCTATAGCTACATAGAAATAACATAAAATTTATCAGCTTAAAACAATAAATATTATCTTGCATAGTTGCTGAAGGTCGGAAAATCAGAGTTTGGCTGGTGGTTCCAGTTCTGGGTCTCTTATAAGGTTGAAGTCAAGATATTGGCCAGGGCTACAGTTACGAGAAGGTTTGACTGGGCAGGAGGATCCATTACCAAACTTGTTCATACGGGACCTCAGTTCCTTGCTGGCTGCTCTGTACCACATGTGTCTCTCAAAAGACCGCTCATTAAATGACCGTTGGTTTCTGCCAGAGGGAATGATCCAAGGGAGAGAAATCGAGACATTAGCAGCAGTGATGACCTAGTCTCTAAGGTTGCATATCACCTCTTCTGTTTTATTCTATTCATTAGGAATGGGTCATTGGATTCAGCCCACATTGCAAGGGAAGCTCCATCTCTTAAAGGAAGGAGTATCAAAGCATTTGTGAACACATTTTTAAATCACAAAAAAATGCATAAAGAATATCATGACTTAAATAAACACACGTGCACAGTGAAAAATACTTTAAACAGAGTAAAACATTTGCCCATAAGAAGTATGTCAAATGCAATTTCCTGAACATGAATCCATTTCAGTGTTGGAAAATTTGTCTTAATATTGTCACTTGCTTCCTAATATTGTCAGTTATAACAAATGTCACTGCATAGTGCTTTTCACATTTTGTTCCAACACTCAAGTGGATATTTGTCATGCCTTGCAGTTGCCAGATCTTTTGTATACCCTTCTGATGTTTGGGGGATGTCCTCCATTTTAAGGCCTGCTTCCTAAGGTAGAAGCCAGAACTTTGTTTCCTAACCTCCCTGTGGCTAGGACCTCGGGATGGAACTTGTGTTCCTTGACCCTGAGAGTCCCAGGAGGGATGTCAGTTTGGAAAAGGGCAGCATGGCCCAAAATCTGGCTTCCAGTAAGGAGAAGGGAAAGGACTCCAATGATGGACTCACATATGGACTCTTCATCTAGGGGTGCTGCTTTCCCATGTTGGCTTTATTCTCAGATAGCCTGTTTCTGTGTAATGCTCCTAGCGCTCTACTACACTATCCCAGTTTTTTCATTAACTATTGTTTCATTTAAAAACAAACAAACAAACAAACAAACACCTTAGTGACACACACACACACAAAAACCCTAACATTTTTATTCTGTCCAGAGAGTCTGTGAGTTAGAAATTGGAAAAGGATACACTAGCTTGTCCCTGCTCCATTATCTGGAGACTTAACTGGAAAGAGTCAATGGCTGGGTCGCTTCATAGTGACATGCTGAATTCAACTGAAGCTTCACTCATTTATATTTGCAGGAATTAATACTGACTGTTGATTGGGGCCGTTGACCAGAAAGAGTACATGTGGTTACTTCGGTTCTGTCACGGTATGGCGGCTGGGTTCCCAGTGCAAGCATCCCAAGAGAACAAGGTAAATGAGCTCAGAGGTCACAGAGTGCTACTCCGCCACAGACACAGGCTTCCCAGATTCAGTGAGGGAGAAGGGTACGGGTGTCAAAATCACAGTGGAGGAAGATGAAGATGAAGTCACATGTGGGGTGGGAGACATTGTTGTAGTCCTCTTTGGAAAAATACAACCTGCCACACAGCAGACCGAAATTTTCTCTTCTCCAATAGCTCAGTAAACACTTGCTATACAGGGCTGTTTTTAAAAAATCAAATTAGATAGTGTATGTAAAGAGCTTAGAGCAATGACTGCCACATAGTGAGTACTTAGTAGGTTCTTTTATTATTACCATCTTTCATATTCTGAAAGCCCAATTTTATGAAATCTGAAGCTTCTTGATGATTTGGTGCCTTAAGACGGAGATGGCAGAAGGAGGAAGTGATCTGGTGTCATCACCCCATGGATGTTTCTAGACCCCGGCACAATCTAAGTTCGCCTTCTTTCCTCGGCAGAGCGGGCCAGGTCTAAGGAACCTGCCCTTAGTTTTGGTCGGCATGCTGGTGCTCGGGTGGGCCAGGCCTCGAGCTCAGTAGGTGGCACACGGTTGAGGCTGGGACGAAGGTACAGGCCACTGGTCCCTCCCGGTGTTATGTGGCCTAGTGAGGGGGGGCTGTTGCCCAGAAGAGCTGCCACGGCCCACGGGTGTTCTTAACCGGAACTCAGAGCTTAGTGACAGCCTCTCAGGTCAGGGCAATATGCTCGAGGGTCACAGGAGTTCGGGAAGGTAGCCGGCCAGGGTCTCTTACAGCGTGACCCAGAGCCGGAAGAGCCAGTGGGCGGGGTCCCACCGAGTAAGATGAATCTGTGCAGTCTCCAGCACCGTAGAAGTTCTTGGTTAAAGGCAGCCGCCTGCACTGTAGCAACAAGGGCCTGGCTGCCAGATCGCGCTCGGGCCCCGGCTCCCCGACGCTGCGGAACACCGAAGCGGTGGCTCTGGGGTAGATTCGAGGTCCCCGGTGGTGGGGAATGCAATGGCAGTTCCGGGAAAGGAGGTGACAGGACAAACGGAGTCTCCTGGGCGCAGAGTGGAGGGAGAGCATGGCCGGGCACCGAAGAGAACCTAAACTTCCAAGTGCACAGGTGGGTCGTGGGAACAAGGAGTGCTCTCCCTGACCCTGAGGCCGTGCCGCGGGTGTGGTACCCGCAGCCAGCAGGGAGGGCCGCTGGTGCCACACTCCCTGCGTGTGGCGGGGCGCAGTACAGACACGAATTTTACAAACTTCCTTCCTGTGTGAGCTGTGAAGAAGAAAAGCGGTTCTGCTGCCCATGCAACTCATTCCTTGAAGTTTATTCTATTTAGAATAAAACCAACGAAACTCCACCCTCTGGGCTCGGTCCCTGCACCCCCATTTCCGCGCGCCTCCCAAACGTGCTCCCAGGAATCCCGAAGTTTACGAGTGTGTTTGTTTCCCGCGCCCGCGCACCTCGAAACCGAAAGCACCACGGGCGGCGCGGGAGTCCCGCCCGGAGCGAGCGCAGAGCGCCGCCGCCACCAGCGCGCCGAACTCGGCTGCAGTTGCCCTCGCTGCCGCGGCGGGCCGGGGGCAACAGTGAGCTGCGGCGGCGGCGGCGGCGGGAAACCGAGGCTCCCGCGGGGAGGCCGCTCCAGCTCGGGACGGGAAAACCGGGAAAGCGGCAGCGAAGGATCCTCAGAAATTCTTGAGGGAGGGTGCGAGGACGATGGAATACAGCTTGTAGGAAGAGTGAAAAGCAGACCGTTCGCCTGTACCAGGATGGCCGAGTGGTTAAGGCGTTGGACTTAAGATCCAATGGACAATGTCCGCGTGGGTTCGAACCCCACTCCTGGTAGATGTTCGTTTTCTGCCCTTTTTTTTTTTTTTTAACTTAGCAGTTTTATTTATTTTTTAAACATAAATTTCACCCAGCACACCACGTCTTGGGCCCAAGAATTCCGCTTTCTAGCTGGGAGAGACTCACCCTTCCCCACCCCTCCCCGCAACATACACCCCGCGCGGCTTCGTTTCCCGCGGGCGGGAGACGTCGCGCTGAGCGGGTTGGGCTAGGGCCGGCGGGCTGGCGGGCGGCGGACGCGGGGGCCGCGGGCGGGGGTGCCGCGGGCGGGGGGCGAGGGTGCCGCGGGCGGGGTACGGGGGGGCCGCAGACAGGAGGCAGTGTCCGGCGGGCTGGCGGCCGGCGGGCGTCTGCCGGGCCCCGGCTGCGCGGCGTCCACCGCGGGTGGGCCGAGCCGGGGTGGGGACTCCGCGTTGCGGCGGGGCTCGGGTTCCGGCTGCCGAGCGAGAGCCGGCCGGGCGGGGCGGGCGCCTCTGTTGTGAAATCTTGGTTAGAAAGCTGCCCATGCAGAAAAGTCACAGATAAATCTCTGCCTTTTTCCTTTTCGCAAAATTAATTGTATGCACGTAGCTCTTCCTTTAGCTCCTTGAAGGCGGAGACAGTGTGCATCACAGCTCTAAAATCTTAGGAGTCTAACTTGCATTCGGCTTAGAATTTTAAAATACTAACGGCATGGTCTAGTTGTTTGTTGTTTTAAAAAAAAAAAAATACTTGTTAAATATGAAAGTAATCTCAAACCTAGAGGAAAAAGTCAAACAACTACAGTGCAAAGAACACTTAAAAAGATCATTTGACAGTAAGATACCGACTAGATGATCCAAAACAACCGTTAAAATCAGGAAATTAACATTGATAATTTACTACATCTAGTGCCCAAACCGCGTTCAATCACCGGTTGTCGTTTGTAGTAAAAAGCTCCTGTTTGTAAAAATGTATTGCATTTCCTTGTCACATCTCCTTAGGCTTCCTCAGTGTGTAACAATTCCTCGGTGTCTCCTGACATTCATGGTCTTGACACTTATAAAGACGACAGGCCAGTCATTTTGTAGAATGTCCCTTTGTCAACTTGGATTTGTCTCATTAGATTTAGGTTGTACTTCTGTATCACAGAAGTACCACCTTGCATCCTCTAGGTGGAGTGATTTTGATGTGTCTTATTAACTGAACTTAATTCAGTTAAGACTCTCCCAACCTTCACCACTATAAATTCACTCTTCTTCCCTTTGTGATTAATACATATTTTGGGGGAAGTGCTTTGAAGCTATATAAATATACTATAACTCATCAAACTTCTCATTTTGTTCAGTTATTTATGGAATCTTAAGTAATCTAAATATGCACTTACGGTATCCTATTTGAATAAATGGTTACAATCCATTCTATACTTGTTTGATGCTCAAAGTGTCCCACATTTGCCATGGGGAATCCATTCAAGCCAACTTTCGACATGTCTCCATCATTCTTTTGCACTTCCTTACCAAGTCCAAGATATTCCATGCTTACCTTGTATTTTCTGTGACCCAGCCCTAGACTAAGCCATTTTCAAAAGATTCCTGGTTCTGTTTCACAGAGAATGGTAATTAGAAACCATTCTTTTGATGTGTTACTGTTCCTAGGCCCTCTGAGTGGACAGAATTCGGTGTGTGTGTGTGCGTGCGCGCACACATTTATATTTATCTACTCTCTACTTATATTTATATTCAAGAGTTTATACCAATACCTCCAATTGTGATGCAACACTACAGATTTTGGTTTAGTTTTTCTACCCATATTTCTAATTCCCTAAACTTGCCAATGTAAAATTTACCTTGCTTGAGCCTATCTAATGGCTTTAGAATTGAATAGTTCAAGAAGGGAAGGGAAGAGGAAAAGAAAGAGGGTCTAAGTAGTTTGGAAATGAGCGACCTGCCAGCATCTGAGAACTGGTTCTGAGCCGGTCACTGTTAGACACTTGGGCTGTGCAGATCAATAACCCAGCATCTGTCTCACAGAGCTCAGTTAGTGAGGGATAGATTTTAATGAATCACATTTATAATGACAAAATACGAATTATGTCCAAGATGTTAAAGGAGCAGCGTGAGAAGCCCTCACTCTTTCCCAGAGCGCCAGCTTTAGTTGGGAACAAAAGGAAGAGAAGTAGGGCTCTGGGAAGGGAGGAAGAGAGGTATAGGTGGAGTAAGCTGTCCTGAAACATTGCTAAGTATGGTCTCTGAAGTCCGCTAAAGAATTCGAAACAAGAAGCAACCTGATTAGTGTTGCATTTAGAAGGTTCTCTAATGACTACAAACTCTTGGTCTGTCTATACAGGTTTTGAAGAAGGGGGCATATTGAATTGGGAGGAAATATTTTTGGGTGAAGATTATTTAATTCAGTCCATACCCAGTTCAGCTGAGCTCACTGTCCCTCTCCCTTTCTCCTTGAACACCAAGCAAGAGTAAAAAACAGCATATTGATTTGAAGCCTTTCCAGCCTGAGCATTGGTGCTTGTGCTAATTTAAGTGTTCCTATTACTGTGTTCAAATGCAAATATGGACCAGTACTACCAAGAATAGGCAAGGAATAATGTAGAGTTTTACTTTGTTTCTTTGAAACTATATTGTAAATCAAGCTTGTAGTCTGTATTCACCAGTTACTGTGCAATAGCAGAGATGGTAAAAAACTCATGAGTATACTTCTTAAGATTGCTGAAATTCTGTCGGATTACTCTGAGATGCCATAAAGAGAGATCAAATGATGTCTGAAGACTGCTGGTCTAGAAACAAGAGGATCTATTAAATAGATCTTACAGCACTGAATCAGAGGTTTTGTATTGATTAGTATGTAGGGTCTACTTAACCACAATCTTTGCATGCCAATTTAAGTGGACTCTTTTGCTTTACTATTTCCCTCTCTGCATAATGTTTTATCACTGGTTTCCTCTGATTAATAGGATTCTCTGACTGAATTTTGATTTATTTCAGCAAACATGAAGAATACAATTTAATTTATAAATGTTCAAATCACATGGTGACTCGGTAGAAAGAACCCAGGCTTTGGGGTAAGACAGGTTTACCAATTTTCTCAGGTAACTAATCTACCTTTACTCATTCGCAGATAGGAAAATAATACTTACCCCCACTGAGTGGCTGAAAGGCTAAATGAACTATAATAAAGCCTTCTTAATGATAATAATAATAAGCATTATTAATAATATTATTAATATTAATGAATATTATTCTCATAATAATGCCTCCTCACAGAGGTAGGTATTTCATACCTCTCAGTTCTCTTCCTTTTCTGGAGCCGTTCTTTGTGGGAGTACAGAAGAACCACACTGTGCAAGTGGGAAGAAATCTTACCTTGCATGTAAAGGCCACTTTACAATTTTTCAAAAAACTTTTATATTTACGATCTTCCTAGACAGACAAGTTCCTACAAGACTCATTGTACCTAAGTGATAGATACAATTATACACTATCTTCTTCAACACACGTGAAACGTAATGTTTTCTTTCACTCAAGATTTTATAGAGAGACCTAGAGAAGACCAATAGTTCTTAAAAATTGAAATCCTGTCCTAAAATGTAGAAGCATTTTTACTTTCCCACGAAAAGTAGGCCTGTTATATTAGACTCTTTATTTTTAAAGATTTGTAAAAGATTTTGAATTTAAATTTGAATTATTTGTGGGTGTACCACCACTAAGCTTAGACTGATTTTTCCAATAATTATTTTAACAATAAGAAATTAAATCACTACTTAATTTGAATGACAAATTATGAGTATAGATTTGTAAGCATTCTCTTCCTGGCTTTGAAAGAGTTGTAAGTTATTCAGAATTGTTTGATTCTTTTCTGCTGGGCTTCCTTACATAGAACTGTTGAAGACTGTTTCCAATACATTTAAACAGTGACACCTACTGGCTAATTGGAGACAAATTGACGTGTTAAATTCTGTCTGTTTAATACTGACTATAAAATCCTGATAAATTGTTGTTCCACACTCACTATGTTTAGGAGCACATTAAGGCTATTATCTTATCCAGCCAGTATTTTGACTTTCTTTTTTCTCTTTCAATTACTGGTGATAAATCTGCCACTGAAAAGATTCCAAATCACTGACCCAATTTGCACAAGCCATTATTTTAATTGTATGAACAGGGCCTTCATCTCATCATATTCATCATCTTTGTTTTAATATATTTTTTAAAACTCAGAAACTATGAGATTGAAGACGAATAGAGATTTGGGTTAGCCACTGATTTTAAAACACAGAAGCCATGCCCAATTTGGGAAATCCTGAGCAAGAAGCTTTCTTTGTCCTCTGTACCAAGTTGGAATTTGGAGATCTTCATTATCCTTTTTGTGTTACATCTTGCTTTTAGGTACCATTGCATCTAATTAGTGAACAACTTGAACATACATTGCACATTTGTTAATTGTTCAAATGAGATAAATGGTAATGCTTCCAGCTTTCAAGAGTCTGTTCAGGGGGTGCCTGGGTGGCTCAGTGGGTTGAAGCCTCTGCTTTCGGCTCAGGTCATGATCCCAGGGTCCTGGAATCGAGCCCCGCATTGGGCTCTCTGCTCAGTGGGAAGCCTGCTTCCCCCTCTCTCTTTGCCCGTCTCTCTGCCCGCTTGTGATCTCTGTCTGTCAAATGAATAAATAAAATCTTAAAAAAAAAAAAAAGAGTCTGTTCAGGTACAAAGGTACTGTGTATTGGACAAGGAACATAATTCCAGGTTCCTTGCATCTACACCACTGCTGGAGAGAAGGCCACAGTGAACCACATGGTTTGTTTGTGAACTACTTGATTTCATTTTCATGTGGATAGATTTTTATGTCTCCGAACCACTTATTGGAATACATGGCAGAGAGGGAGTGAGTGTACTGGGAACTTACTGGGAAGCTGTGCCTAGCAGAGTGTCTCCAGCACATCATATGCATTGTAGAAATGTCTATGGAATGAATGAACAGCCTTGAAGTTCACTGAGTACACGTTACAGTTCATCTATTTATTGTACACATATTAATTCTCATTTCGGATGTATGTTTTAAGATGTACTCTGGATTTGTTTTAGTCAAGTAAGATCAAGTAAGATACACAGACACAGACATGACTGTCATAAAGGAATAGTTTTTTATAGTCACAAATCCCTAGAAACCAGAGTCATGGCATGCCATGGAAGGGCACATGAGGAAACAAGGGGAAAGGATGGGTAAAACCTTTACTGTGGTTTTCACAGGAAGGAATGGGTGAGGCAGGGTAAGCAGGCTTAGGATTTGGTAGTTTAAATAACGTCAGAATGCTCTGGGGTGTAGGGAATGTTCTGAGGTGTCTGGCATCTCTAGGAATTAGCTAACCCTGACAGAGGCAGTACCTCCCTGATCAGCAAGGGCCCAGATGCCAAAGTGTCAGAAATAGAGAACACAGGAAAATATAGTTAATTTGGTATGGGTTCAGACATTCTCACATTCCTTTTTCTTCTTCTTCTCCTTCTTCTTTTGCAGCTAGGGTGGGCCTTATCTGATTGGAAGAATCAGGATCAAGAAGCCCAAGGAGGGAAACACGTAAGTGGTTTTTGAATCATTTCCTTCTGGGTAGGCTATACATGGTACTTGCGCAATTCACACCTCAAATTTATCTTTGGGGTTAGATAGTCTTCTCGGTCATTTTATTTGTGTCTATAGTATAGTGATGCTCACGAGTGACTGAAAAAGGTAATTTTTAAAATTGCTTGAAAAGATGGACCATTAAGAAGAGTGTTGAATATATCCTTTGTACATGAACACAGAAGTGTGTGTCCTTGTGAAATACACAGCATAGGTCCTAAGAGGCAATACAGAACAGTGACAGAAGTTAGCCCGCCCAAATTTCAGTCCCATCTCCAACCCTGATTAGCCATGTGGCTTTGGATGGGTTAATCAGCTTCACCAAGTTTTTATTTTCTCATTTATAAAATGAGGGTGATAGTAGAAGCACCTGTGAAATGATTTCTTGTGAGAGTGCTGTCGATAAAGTGTTTAGAAATTGCCTGGCATTTGGATGATCAGTAGATTAAACTATGGCTATACTTTAGTGATCCTTATAAAGTGTACCTATAGATTGACTATAAGACCAGTTTTGCTACAGAGGTAAAAGTTATTCATGGAATTGATTCTGCTGTTGGTTATATATTATAGTTTCTATAGCAGTTGCAGTAAAGTGAGATTTTTTTTTAAATTTTTTTTTAAAGTGAGATCTTTAGCAAAAGATAAAATTTTTAAAAAGAAGATTTTACTTATTTACTTATTTATTTGACAGAACAGGAGCAGGGGAAAGGGGCAGAGGGAGAGAGAGAAGCAAACTCCCCTTTGAGTAGAGAGCCCGATGTGGGGCTTGAACCCAGGATCCTGGGATCATGACCTGAGCTGAAGGCAAATGCTTAACCGACTGAGCCACCCAGGTGCCCCCAATTTTTATTTTTTAGTTTTTTCTTGAGAGAGAGAGAGTGTGCAGGCACAGGTACATGATAGGGTGGGGCAGAGTGAGAGGGAGGGAGAGAATCCTAAGCAGGGCATGGAGCTCCAAGCTGGGCATGGAGCCTGACTCAGGGCTTGGTCTCACAACCCTGAGATCATGACCTGAGCTAAAATCAAGAGTCAAACGCTTAATCAATTGCAACACCCAGGCACATCAAAGGACACTATTTTTAAAAGCATGACATTTGGAAGAGGGGCATAGATTGCATTTTCTAATTTGTTCATGAAACCTTTTCCCATTTAAAAGTTCTTAAATGCCTAACTTTCCATCAACAATCTTTTCTTAAATAAAACGGGTAATTCCTTGAGTAATTTTTATGTTCAAAAAATAGCACAGAGTTCTAAACTCTAACTTCTCAAACTCAAGATAAGTGAGCTTATTGTTTTCCCCTGGGTGTCTCACCCACTGGGTTAGTCACAAACAGCTATATTAAGGATGTTGTTCACATTTTTTAAACGCTAGCATTCTGGCCCACCCAGTTCTGTTCTTATTTTAAATGCAACTTGACTTAATTTTTTTTTTAACTTCACATAAAGAAAAATAAAAGACCCCTATGACTTGGAAGATGTTTAAAGATTTTTTTTTTTAATTTATTTGACAGACAGAGAACACAAGTAGGCAGAGAGGCAGGCAGAGAGAGAGAGGCGTAAGCAGAGAACCTGATGTGGGGCTTGATCCCAGGACCCCAGGACCATGACCTGAACTGAAGGCAGAGGCTTAATCCACTGAGCCACTCAGGTGTCCCTGGAATATTTTTAGAATAATACGTAACGCCACGCTTTTAAGTGTAGACTGGCATTAGACTTCATAGAAGTGCATTCTATTCTATGAAGTCTAATGCCAGTCTACACTTAAAAGCGTGGCGTTACGTATTATTCTAAAAATATTCCAGGGACACCTGAGTGGCTCAGTGGATTAAGCCTCTGCCTTCAGTTCAGGTCATGGTCCTGGGGTCCATGTACATACATGTACATACACTTCATAGAGTGTAGACTGGCATTAGAGTCTGTAATGATGCAGAAGAGCCCCTCTACTATGACTTAGTGCAATGCCTAATATGCCTACTATGACTTAGTGCAATGCCTAATTCTATTAGTGCTCTACAAAGAACAAGTGTAGAAGGAAACATAGAACCAAAATGAAATTTTAATGTGGCTTCATGAGTTGAAATGACCTTGGTAATATACTAATTGAATCAATTAGTCAATTTCTTTAATGCTAATTTTAGTCTCCCATGAAGAATCCTCAGACCAAAGGAAGATAAGGATGAACTTGGATAATTCTAGGTAGAGAAGCCCCTTAGGTAGATCTGGAGTGAAGAGGATATTTTCCACTGGATTTCTCTATTTTGCTTTTACATCTCTGCACCATAAACCAGTCTAATGCCTGCTTAGAAAACACACAGCTACTGCTACATTTTGCCCATGTTTTCCTAATATCTAGGAAAGTCTTGTAGAGAAACACCAGTACCGAAAGGTGGACAACCTCTAGTTCCAGCTGAACAATCCATTCATTCATTCATTGACTCATTCATTCATTCAGAATTTTTTAAGTGACTAGAATGGGCAATGACATGTTGGTTGCTCAGATATGGCAATAAATAAGATAGACCAGGTCTCATCCTCATAGATCTTAAATTTAGGGGATATAGGCAATAAACAACTAATCATAATGTTAATTCTTTCCCAGTCATGGTTTTCTTCTAGACGTGTGGGCGTAGTTTGGAGCAGGAGAGGAGAAGCAGAGGCCATTCACAGAACAGGTAGACAAAGAACAGGTAGAATGTAAATGGACGGTAGCTCTCTGCCCATCACCAGGAGAGAGACTGAATTCAGCCCACAGAGAGAGCAAGTGAGAGAAAGAGGGAGAAAAGGAGGGAAAAGAAGAGGGGAGGAAGAAAAAAAAAAAGAGAGGAAGAGAGAGGGGGAGAGACAGACAGACACCCAAGGCCTCACCCAAATTCCTGGAGTCAGTGGTTCTCCATTCAGCTCCAAGACTGTGAATTTCTCCTTTGTGTGTGGCTTCTTAAAAAAGGCCTGACCTGAATAACATAGCTTTTAAGTATTGGCATAAAGTCGAGTATCTTCTTGAATAGCAAAAGATTTAAAAAAAAAAAAACCAAAAACCCTGTAATATTTCAGAAGGAGGACACGTGATGGCTTCATGAGATTTAATCATGGCCTTGTTGGGTGTTAGGGTTGGAAGGGATTTACTTAGACAAAGCTTCTAATAAAGCAGAAATAACCCGCTGACCACTCCTGACAGAGCTAAACTAATCTCTAAACTAGTGGTCATTAATAGTGATAGCACTGATGTTGGGGAGCATTCCGGAGGAAGGCAGGGGCACTTTGGACTTGTCGTAATTGGAGGGTGATTACTGCCGTGAGGAAGGGGTCCGGGATGCTGGGCAATGCCACATAATCCAGAAAGACCCTTCTTCCTAGAAGCATTTGGACTGTGCAGCAGAATATCCCTGTGGGTTAAAAGCCTGTTTGTCTGAACCCACCACCTCACCGTACTTTCCACGTTAAACACAAGGTATTTTTGCGCACTTTAGGTATGCAGTGAATTTTCCAAGTATACAAGTATACAAGTATACAACTACCATGTAAATCAAGGAAACATTGTACTTCACTTTATTTAGAATTCCATCAAGAGCTGGTTTCCATGTTAGAAAATACGCCACTCACAGCAGCAGTGCTATATGAGTATTTGGCATCTGACTCACTAGTTCAACACACGTGCCTACGTTTGTTGCTGTTGTGCTCGTGATGATGTGATGGGCTCGCTCTGCCTTCTATGGTGTGGTCATGCTCTAGCACCTACATGCTGAGATATCCTATAGAACCCGATGTCTTCGACCTCCTCACTCATAAAGCTGGGCTTTTCATCCGACTCTGGCTCGTTTGTGCTTTTGCTGACATAGGCGCAGCCTGCCGGCTCGTGCCTCTTCTTGAAATGTCTGCTTCCCACATTCTCCTGAGGCCAAGTAGGCAGGATTATATCACCCTAATCTCCTTGCAGCAGTTGACTAAGCCAGGGGTGGGCACCTGACTCAACGGGGCCAATTACGTTCTCTCTCAACCATTTGTAAGGATACAGAAGGTTATTTTCCGCTCTGTGCCCAGAGAAGGCAAGGCAAGCCCGTGTGCGGAGAGAGATGGATGAAGCAAATGAAGAGAAAAGCGGAGATGAGTGACCACGTGGCCAAAGAGGGAAAAAGACACCAGTGAGCAGCTGCTTTGGTCCTCAGTACGTTTCCTTTTTTTTTTTTTTTTTTTTTTTTAATTATTTATTTGAGAGGGTGGGTGAAAGAGCACCAGCAGGGGGAGCAGAGGGAGAGGGAGAAGCAGGCTCCCTGTAGAGCAGGGACCCCCGATGTAGGACTTGATCCCAGGACCCCGGGATCATGACCTGAGCTGAAGACAGACACCTAACCATCTGAGCCACCCAGGCGCCCTCTCAGTGCATTTCCTAATGCAAGTGTCTGACTTCAGGAAGCTTTGCTGAGGGCTCTACTGCTTCTAATTGTGATCCATGGTCCTGACACGAAAGGTCGCCGTTGACCTGGCCAGATGGGTGTGCCAACTCTTCAAGACCTGAGAGTCAGGTAGAATGAGTCTTGAGCTACTCTGAGGTTTAAATTTCTCCTTAATACTTTGCTAGTTCATGTGTCTCCGCCGAACTTATGTAACTGACTTTTAAAAAACTTTTCTTTGAAATTATTTAAAACTTTCTGAAAAGCTGTAGGAACAGTGCACCCTTGACTCGGATTCCCCATTTGTTAACATTTTACTGCATTTGTTTCATCCTTTTCCTATTCTCACTCTAATTTGCTAAATCATTTGAGAATAAGTTATAGATATGACACCCGTTACTCCTATATGTTTCCCAAAACACAAGGATACTCTCCTATATTACTACTAGAATCATCAAAATTAGGATGCTGAAAATATAATATTACCACCCAATACACAAATCCCATTCAAATTGTGTTGATTTCCTCAATAGTATCCTTAATAAACACCCTCTCCTTTTTGGTTCATGT